CTGCAGCATCCATGGGGTACCACCTTACGATGCTCTTGCCCGATTTCCGGTACCCACAAGTACCGCAAACGCGAGACTCTGCCTTCCTTTCTTCCTCGGCGAAAAAAACTAGGAAGCAGTCTGGGCGTGCGCAGAGGCAGTCATTGCTGGGCCTAAAGTCTCGCACGAGAGCTGGAGGGAGGGTTTTCTCTCCTTGTGTCCACGCGGTCACGAAGTCTACTGCTCGCCCTAACCGGTCCGCGCGGAGGTGCCTGAAACCGTCGTCATTCGGAGACCTGTGGCATGCCGAACATAGCTTATCGTCGTCCGAGTGCACTACACTCCCGGAGCATTTGCTACACTCGGTGCCAGGGTGGTCTGTAACCCACCCGCATTCCATACGCTCGCACGCCTTTCTTCGCTTCTTGCTTGTTGGTTGGCGTACAGATAGCACCGCTGGGGCAGAAAGTCTCCTACCCGCATTCCGCTTTCCAGGCTGATAACCAGCTTGTCTTGGGTTCCCGCCGTGACTCCTACGCCGAGGATCAACGGGGTGATTCCCCGCGGACTCTGCTTTTTGCCGTTCGTCTTCGGCAATCGCGCGAGCTTTACGGGCCGATGCCTCCCTCCTCGCCTCGCCCTGCTGTCTGTAGTAATCCTCCTCCTCGAGCTTGCTCTCAAGATTGGATAGGCCTCCACGTGTGACACCAACAGAGGGCCTCTTTCTGCGTTTCCTGCCCGACCGGGATTTTCCTCCCGTCCGACGGACGCGTGCACCGGAATCTCTCGCGTCGCGCTTTGTCGCGGCGGTGGGGGTGTGCACCTCAGTGGTGAGGTTGCCCTCTCTCCTGCTTCCGATCCGTGGACGTTCACTTGTGACGTCTCCCCTTGAGTTGTCGACCACTGGAGTACGCGGGGTTAGCGNGGTGGCGTAGCCGGTTGACCTGTGGGGTTGATAGCCCCACCAGTCCGGTTGCCCCGCCTACCTCTCCGACGGGTCATCTGTCAGCAGCTCGACCGGTGCCGGCCGTCATCCTATGCATTAAATACCTGGCCATGGTATACGACAAAAACTACAAAATGTCACGTGACACGTACAGCCTACGCAGGCGCACACCTATGCTATGTCGTGGGCGCTACGTTGTCTCTTGACAGCCATGGATAATATATGATCCTCTGTATGGGCATGCTTACGTTCCTGAGAGCGTGACGGACTGGAATCTGTCGATCTACGTAGTATATATGCCCGACTCGATATTTCTGCGGCGTTTCNTATACGACAAAAACTACAAAATGTCACGTGACACGTACAGCCTACGCAGGCGCACACCTATGCTATGTCGTGGGCGCTACGTTGTCTCTTGACAGCCATGGATAATATATGATCCTCTGTATGGGCATGCTTACGTTCCTGAGAGCGTGACGGACTGGAATCTGTCGATCTACGTAGTATAGATGCCCGACTCGATATTTCTGCGGCGTTTCAATCTATATGCACGGTCTGGAGTGTACGTAGCTGATCGCCCCGGGTCATGTTCGACTCGTACCATGGAAAAGCACCGAGTATAATTATAACTTCAAGACAGACGTACTTGCCCGATCGAAGCCCAGATTTTCTATAACTTGTTACGATAGCCTGACCCTGAGCTAGCGTGCTTTTATCGGGCATTTCCATGGTATCTTTGGATGGGGGTCGTGTATCCAGTGGATGTACATGCGCAACATGCACGAGCGTGCGTTCGAATCTCCAGCGTGGGCTCTCCTGAAATTTGAATTTTGAACACACCATGCTTATCTCCTGCCGCACCAAATCGCCTCAAACCTTTTGCATTAGGTGGCAGTGAGACCTAGGTACATGTCGGCAGTATAAACAGGCTGCAAGGCGCCAACCTTGCCCAGAGGTCGGTTCGCGTGTGAAGCTTCCTCGCTGATTTTGGAGCTGCTGCAGTGTGGTACGCTCGAGCTATGGCCCCAATTTCTCACCGTACCATGTGTTTCTGGGCGTATGAAACATACCCTGCTGTGCTCTTACATCGTGTTAACATATCTGTCTTGTTTTCTGGGCAGTTTAGCCTCTTGTTCGCCCTCTAGAGCCCGTGCTGGATGCGGAGGTCTGTTGCGCCGCGAGCCGCCTCATCAGAGGGGTTTNAATTTGAATTTTGAACACACCATGCTTTTCTCCTGCCGCACCAAATCGCCTCAAACCTTTTGCATTAGGTGGCAGTGAGACCAAGGTACATGTCGGCAGTATAAACAGGCTGCAAGGCGCCAACCTTGCCCAGAGGTCGGTTCGCGTGTGAAGCTTCCTCGCTGATTTTGGAGCTGCTGCAGTGTGGTACGCTCGAGCTATGGCCCCAATTTCTCACCGTACCATGTGTTTCTGGGCGTATGAAACATACCCTGCTGTGCTCTTACATCGTGTTAACATATCTGTCTTGTTTTCTGGGCAGTTTAGCCTCTTGTTCGCCCTCTAGAGCCCGTGCTGGATGCGGAGGTCTGTTGCGCCGCGAGCCGCCTCATCAGAGGGGTTTCCACACGGGGCTGCTTTCCCGTTGGAAGCTTTTTTTCTCACAAACAAATTCTTTTATTTTCAGCCATGTAGCACTGCTCGCCTATGCGCCAGGTCCATCACTATGGGGGTTGTTGTTGTTGTTGTTTGTTGTTGTTTCTCACATTAGCTCTATAGTCCGCAAAAAATGGGGAGCCCGTGGTCTCAAAACCCGGCACATACGACGCCGCGAGAAAACAAAAAACAAAAATAGGATACAAACCACTCGGAAAAAGAAAACAAAATGATCGAAAGAAAGAAAAGAACAGGTATCGCACCTACTGTTCGAGAAAAGAGCCCTCGGACAC